TGCGGCCAGCGGCCGACGAGAGCGAGAGGCCCGAAGAGCGGCCCCACGCCTTCGACCCAGCGCTGCTGGAGTTCCTGGTGTGCCCGCTCTCCAAGAAGCCACTCCGATATGAAGCATCGACAAATGAATTGATTAATGACGAGTTGGGAATAGCCTATCCAATTATTGATGGGTTCCCTAATATGATACCACAGGCAGCTAGGATGATGGCACAGCAAAATAAGAAGCAAGAAGATATGGAGCAGCACTAGATAATAATTAAAAACGACGCATACAGCCAGATTTTCTTACCACCATTGACCTTTTAAAAAGTCAGGGTGGCAGGTAGTAAGTGGAAGGGGAGAATGTTTCTGTCTCTTCCTACATTGACTGTCCTCATTCCATTGATCTCCTTAGCAGGACTGTTCTACTCAGCCTCCGTGGAAGAAGACTTCCCACAGGGCTGCACTAGCACAGCCAGCCTGTGCTTTTACAGTCTGCTCTTGCCCATCACCATACCAGTGTATGTGTTCTTCCACCTGTGGACTTGGATGGGTATTAAGCTCTTCAGGCATAATTAATGCACCCAGAGCCAAGATGGGATATACATTAATGATAAGTCTTGAGTGTCTAGCTCAACTGCATGAAAATACTGGAAACCCACTTAATTTTCAGGGAAGATGCTGTGCCTTGCTTCTGTCAGAGGCTGAGGACTGTGGGAGGCGTACACTGCAGAAGCTTCTTTCATTATACTTTGGTTCTGCCCTTGTTTTTTGAAGGTTCTAATTTATGACTGCTGTGTCAGAAGAAACGTTTCAACACAGTGTCTTATTGGAAATTAACAATACCAACCATCACCTAATGGCTTTTCTTATCCCTTTCATCTAAAAATTAATAATTTGAAATTTTATGTTTGTTTGAGATTCAAAGTCTTTGATAGAGTCACATGTTCTACAGATAACTGAAATAATTCCAAAGGAGCTATGCTGTAGTTATAGAGAAATGCATTTGAACTAGTGTGATATAAAACTATAATAAAATTGAAACATTAATGGACTTACAAAAAAAAAATACTTTAAATAGCCCTGGCCAGTTTGTCTCAGTAGGTAGATTGTCGGCCAGAGAACTGAAGGGTCTCAGGTTTGGTTCTGGTCAAGGGCACGTAGCTCATTTCCAGACTCAATCTCTGGCTTTGGTTGGGGTGCATGAGGGAGGCAACCAATTGATGTGTCTTTCTCACATTGATGTTTCTCTCTCTGAGTCTCTCCCCCTCCCTTCCACTCTCTCTAAAAATCAATGGGAAAATATCCTTGGGTGAGGATTCACAACAAAAAGAAAATACTTTAAATAAAAAGATCATTCCTATTAAATACTTTAATAGGAATAAATGAATGAGTTTTTGAAATTCTAAAAATTGAGTCAAGATTAAAGGTAATGAAGGAAAATGAAAAATATACTATTTTTAGATTACATAATAGCCTATCTAGAAAACCTAAAATATCTGGCACAACATATACTAAGTGGAACATAACTCTGAGATCACCATTATCAGATTTCTTTTCAGAATATAGTCCTCTATAGTAGACAAGTATGCTAGATCACAACTTATTCTTTTTTAAAAATGTTTTTATTGATTTTTTAGAGAGAGAGGAAAAGAGAGGGAGAGAGAGATAGAAACATTAACCAGCTGCCTCCTGCACACCCCATGAAGGGGATCAAGCCTGCAACCCAGACATGTGCCCTGACCGGGAATCGAACTGGGGCCAGGTTCATCTTATTCTTAATAAAGGTAATCTGAAAAAAGAGCTGGATCTGAATTGAAAATTAGGAAGTCTAAGGCCAAGAAAGGTAAGTTACTTGAAGTCACAGAACTGACAAAGGCCAGAAGGATGATCTGAATCCTTGTGCAATTCCAAAACCTGTCTCATTCCACTTGTCACAAGGCACCTTTACTTTAACTGATATTTTCTGAACACCCATTATGCATCAAGTGCAGGAGTACAAAAATGAGTAATATATTTATGTTTTAAAGATACCTAAGTTAGCTCTAGCTGGTTTGGCTCAGTGGACAGAGCACTGTGGCGTGGAGGGTCCCAGGTTTGATTCCATCAAGGGCACATGCCCAGGTTGTGGGCTCCATCCCCAGTAGGAGGCGGGCAGGAAGCAGCCAATCAATGATTCTCTCTCATCATTGATGTTTCTATCTCTCTCTCTCTCCCTCTCCTTCTCTGAAATCAATAAAAATATATTTTTTTTTAAATAAAAATAACTAAGTTAAAAGAATTGCCCAATTATTTGGTTTAAAATCTAGGTCTCCTAATTCCAACTTCAATGATCCCTCCACCACATAATCATCATATATCTAAAAACCACATATTACTCCTTCTATGTGTAATAAACACCATTTAATGCTGGAGCTAATTCCAAAATTGTTAGTGTAGAAAGTTGTTATTCTAAGAGTACCCAAAAGAGGGACAATCCACACAAACAACTTTTTGGTGTGCTTTTGAGGCATATTCAGTCCTGAATACACACACAAAAGGTGAGGAATAATTGGAAAAGGGGGGAAAGAGGAAGAGCTGAGTTCTAAGTCAATTTCCAAAGCAAACTCTTTCAGTTTGGGTATAGCACATTATCAAATACATCACTTGCAAGCTTTCTACTTATATTTCAATGTAATCATTTAGAAACATGAATATTTAAGTGACTTAAGATAGTCATTCTCAGAAATCTTCTAAGAAAATTTCAGGTAATTTAACATCTGTACAACTTAGAGAAATGTGGGCTTAAAAATAATACAGTTCAGTGGATTTATGTTGGAATGAACATCCATAATCATTAACGAATCTGCAAAAGGCTCTGTATCTGATCTTACCCTGTTCAATATTCCTATCACGGACAAGATGAAGACCCAGAAATTATACTGAAACACCAGAAAAAACCTTCAGAAAATCACCAATTTCTCTTTCATCTCTCCTGTTCAGCAAAGTAGAACCCGCAGCTGGCTATCTGTCATATTGAGACAAGGAAGAAGTATAAAAAGCAAGCAGGGCTTTCCAAAACAACTAGAGGAAAAACTCCCATGAAAATGCCCTAAGCATATGGACCAAAGCAGGAAGTAACCCATCAGGACAGGAACTAGGGAGCAGAGTAAAACAGAATGACTACCATCACCTACCAACCAATCTATGAATGATACACATGCAGATATTCTGATCACTTTAGAAGAAATTAATACCCAGGGATATTTGAACTTTAAAATCTTTCTTGAGATAAAGTAATTCCAGTATAAACAGAAAAGTGATTTTCTCATAACATTGGTGACCTCTGACTAAGTAAAATTATGATCAAAACATTTTAAGATAAGGATTCTTTATAAATAAAAACAACTTACCACAATCCATTCAGCAATGTTTTCATAGAGCTCTGGACTAAAAATTGCTTTTTTAAGCCTAGCTAAAGGACCATCAGCATCTACTAATCTGCACCGCATGAAAACATCACAGTAGCCTCTAAAATCATTGCAAGGGGATCCAGGTTGCAGGGTGATGGTTCGACCCATGAAATGCTTGCTCCATTGCACAGACCCTGTACTGGCACAAGTTGAGAGGTCCACTGAAAAAGAAGTACGAAATATAAGTTGAAGATCAGATTTTCTAGGGGACTAGCTGGAGAGAAAGGGAGGAGGAAGAAACTGCCTAAAATCATTACCATGACATGTTACAAAGACTTTCATTAGTGAGGCTAGATAACACTAGTGGGAATTCACCTTAAATGTTACAATATAAGTAAACAACCAGCAACTCTTTACTTAGTGGCTACAATAGCTTTAAAATCTTCTAACAGTGTTTATATTAATTGTCATAAAGCTGGCAGGTTTTTGTCTAGTTTACCATTTTAAAAACACTGTAGAGACCTAATACTAAAACACAATACTATGCTACATCTAAAGTTTTTCTTTCTCAAGAGGATCAGGTTAGCTGAAATTATCTATGCAAAGTATATGTCAGAGTTTAACACTTAAAATAGAAGAGAAAATAAGATTCTCAAAACAAATTTTATACTCCTCTAGTATTTTTAAAAGCCTTACTCTTCTTCATACAGCAGACATGGCATAATTCCTTATCATCTTTGCTATCAGAACTGGCACAGGTACACTCCTCCAAGCCATATTTCTCACAGATAGAGCCTGCACATTGCTGAAAGGAAAATAGAAAATCAATTATTTAATCCCTAAATAGTCAAGGCTATTGTGCACAGTAATAGACAGGCAGATATAAGCCTCCAATGGTAAAATAATTAAGTAGAAATATAAGCTGGGGGGAAAAGCATAAATTAGTATCAGAAATGGATAATATAAACATATTTGAAAAAGAATAAGTGCAAATAAGATAGGAAATCTTTTAAAGAAATAGCAACTTAAAATATCAAGATCTTTACAAAGCAAAAATAGAAAAAGAGAGTAGATAAACATCAATTTTATGTTAGTTATTATGGCTCCTTTATAAGAAGAGAAAAATGAAATTTTCCTCATATAGAAGAAAGTAACCATTTAGTCAAGAAAGCTTCGAAGGCTTTATATTCTTTTATTTAGGCTATTAAAAATATATTAATTTATAAAACTTAAAAGCAGTACAAAGTCACATGACTAGTTGTACAACTATTTTTCTCTAGAGAATACCAAACACACACAGTGGAAAGGTAAAAGGCAAGTCAGTAACTAATAGGATGCCATCAACCATATAATACATTTTGGCTTTGTGGGGAAATAGATACTGAAACAGAAACTGAGATTAATTACTTTAACTATGCAGCTTTAAGCGTCAACAACTATTTTGATAAAGCAGGTTTTATAAAACTAAATTAAAAATATATACATCAAATACTTACCCCATTAATGCATACTTGTGTGTGCCTATTGCAGTCTGTAAAGTTTGGTTTAGGGTCAGATGCTGGGCAGAGAGCTGTAATGCCATTACATATTCCTTCTTTTGCACAGTCTGAATCATCCCGACACTTTTCAGTTTTTGACTTGAATATACACTGTGCTGTACAACAGGGACCTTGGCTTGGACTAAAAGAAACATTACATGATTAAAGAAAATTGCTAAGATATTTCTTATATATATAGATATGGTCCTAATTTTTAAAATATAAATCTTATCTTTTAAATAGTATGTTATTGATATACAACTTCAAATATTGGAATAAAAGGCTACTAAATTTCAACATTCTAATAAGCATAGAAAAGTGATTGTCTCATTTTTATAAGCAAGGCATTCTTATTCTATTTGTCATTAGTGAAAGGCTATAATAGAAAATGGATTTAGTATTAGGCAAGTTACCAGTGTTCTTCATAATTACATCATACATTAGTCAATTTATCAATTTCCTCACATTTATATGCTAAAATCAAAGTAGGGAAAACAAACCAATATTGCACAAATAATATTCTATTGCTTTTGTCAATTACTACCAAAGTAATATGACAAGTGAAATAATTATATGATACTAAGTTATAAGAGTGCATGAAATCCACCAGCTGATATGGCTCATTGGTTGAGCATCGACCCATGAACCAGGAGGTCAGGGTTTGATTCTGATTCAGGGAACATGCCCGGGTTGCAGACTTGATCCCCAGTAGAGGGCATGCAGGGGACAGCTGATCAATGATTCTCTCTCATCATTGATGTTTCTATCTCTCTCTCTCCTTCTCCCTTTCTTCTGAAATCAATAAAAATATATTTCTTAAAAAGAGTATATGGAATCCATATTACTTAAATATTTAAAATTAAGATCCTAAAAATATGGATGATAATATTTTTAAAGTTAAGAACTAAATAAAATGCATTATTGAGCATCTTTTGCATGTCCTTTTTTTAACACCCACCACACAAATTACAATTACATGTAGTTCAATTTGCCAACAACAGTGCACTAACCAATGCTATGGAGTAGGAAAAAA